GTTGGAAGGGATGTTAGAGAACTTCTAGTCTGATCCTCTGTCTAGATCGATCGATTGACAGACAGACATGAAATCTAAGGGCTACTGGGGTGTGTTAAGGTTGGAATTATTTTTGGGTTACCTGTGAATCATGCATTATAAGTCTTCAAGAAAAATAATTAAGCCTTATTAGGCTATGTTTTCCCAGGAAGAAGAATTCTTATTAGTGGGGAAAGTGGAGGAAAAGTTAATGTAATGTGGGAGCATCTGGGCAGAATTCTGCCTTTCCTCAACACCCCCCTCAAGCTCTCACTCAACATCACCTTCTACTGCTGAACCTGAAAATAAGCCACCATAAAAAAATTAGGCGAAGACTTTGGCAGATGTCTGGGATGTGCAAAGGGGAGAGAATTCTCACCCCAAAGTTTGGGAAAGTTTTTTTTTTTTTTTAAATTTGCAATGGATCGAAGGAGGGTGGGGAACCAAGACTCAGAGGAGCAGGACTTACCGGCATCTGCAAGGGGGTCGAGGAGACCATGGAGCTGGTGCTGGCGGTTTTGGCTCCAGAGACTGTGGTCAGGAGAAGGGAGTCAGCCTTGATGAAGTGGGGCTGCAAAAGGACCTGAGGGGAGACAGCATGAAGTCAGGACCCAGGGCCCCCACTTCACCCTGCATGAACGTGGACCGGGGAAGGACGGGGTTCCAGTGCCCGAGCCCCACTCACCGGCACTTGCTGGACCACCTGGGGGCTGCTGGCAGCCAGAATCTGTTGGGGGGCAATGTTCTGGAATTGCGTTTGCTTTGGCGCTGGCTGCGTCTGTTGGGGCTTGGTGGGGACAAGCGGGGGCGGCTGGGGGGCCCCTCCTGGCTGGGGAGCTGGGAAAGAAACACAAGAATATGGGAGCTGCCTTCCACAGCAACTGGGCAGACCCATGGGTCAAGCCCACCCACCAACAGAAGCCTCCCCACCACCACAACTGGCATTCATAGGTAGTGCTGATCTTGGAAGTGCCCTCAAGACTTAGAATGCCAAAAGAACCCTGCTGGATCACAACAAGCAAACGGGATGATGGGAGCTGTAGTCCAACAGCTCTGAAGGGCCCTCCAGATATCAAGGCAAAGTCCTCAGGACCCATCCTTCCCTTCCTGAGACCTTTGGAAGCACCATCCATAAGGGCCCGTGAGCCTACAGTCTTTTCTTAATGATGGACAACCTACCACGCTCTGAAAACACTGAGCACAATGGTGTGATTTTTCAGACCCACTTCTAGCAACTGACCCCTCCTGGGGTTGCCAACTTTTTCAGCCAGCCCTTGTAGGTGTGCCTTTAAGAAGAACTGTGCTGTCATATTAATAGGCAGTGAAAAGTTTCACTCTACTTGCTTGGGGGGATTGTGATGAAGGGCTGAGGATCAAGCCAGAGGACTTCATGGAGAAGTGTTGGGAAGTCCAAACAAGGCTCCTATTAGAAAATTAAGCACTGGTCCCATCCTTACCAGAAACAGCATTTGGGCTCGGGAAATCCATCAACGGCTGGGCAGAGAAAGGTGTCTGGGCAGCTGGAATAAAATTTGGAGAGGACATCCTGGCTGCCGGCAGCTGGCTTTGAGATGGGCTCAGCGTTGAGGCCAAGGGTTCTTCTTTGACATCCACCGGAGTTGGCTGCATGTTCAGGCAAGCTGTTGGGAGTATCGGGAAGCTGGGTGGAGATGTGGCTGGAAGCTGGAACAAGCTTGTGGAAGAGGGGGCATTTGTCCCCAAGTAGTTACTGAAGAGGCTGGGCCCATGGGGGTTCGGATCAGGAGGAACCTGAGAGCCAAAGGATGTGTCCAACAGACCAGGGAAGTCATTGTCTTCAGTGGTGATCAACTGGAGCATATCTACGAAGCCCAGGGAAGAATGAGAACCGTGATTGGGAACTGGAGACTTACTGGTGAGGATGATTTCAAAGGGATGAAGTGACTTACTTAGGAAGACTTGTAGGGCTGAAGAACATGTGGGATTTAGAGGGAGCAGAGAGAGAGAAGACTAAAGGGGGAAACAGCACTGCTACACAATTTTATGAATGGATCCTACCCTTTGAGCCAGGATCCATGGAATTCCCACCCTCTAACCCTGATTGTTCACAAGTTCCTAGAAAATGCATGGGGACCTAGAACTAGCGTTAAATGACTTTATTCATTAACCAGGAAGAAAACAGAGAAAGTAGTCAACTCTGACAACAGAGAGAAGGTATTCACACAACACTGGCACTCGGGAGTGGGGAGAATCTGGGTCAGAAGATGGTGGCTTCCAAGGGTGTACTCCCTTGGAGAATTAACATGGGTCCTTCTAAGCTGTGGCTTCCCCACGCCTGGGCTGTCATCAGCATCCCCATTTTCATC